AACTTAATAATTAAGATAATTGTACCAATTCTATTCAGTTAATTGAAGTTACACTCATATGCAGCATTTTGCCAAACTTATTTAAAATGTGTGAACAGAATGTATCTGAATAAAGTAACCTAAATTTGGTGACCTGGGAACAAGAACGGACTGTGAATTACAATTACAATTGATTGAAAAAAACAAACCATTGAGAGTAGTTGTTAGCTCAGATTCAAGTCCATTATGACCTAATTCCTCACAGTGATCAAATTATATTTAGATTTTTGTTACATTTTTCAAAGAAATTTCTTCTTTGTCATATATTAAGTCTTCCGTCATCAGAGGAGAACTAATCAGATAGTTTTGTGTTATTTTTATTCTCCCAGCCACATTCCTTACCTATTGGTGGCGGTAATGCACCGTTTCGTTGTTTACCCCCCACCACGAAGAAGAAGAAGAAGAGGGGTGGGGAACGAAGAAGAATTTGGATCACGTGACTGCTGTTGGACCAGGAAGTGCGGTGTCAGATACACGGTTAGATCAAAACAAACCAAGACTATCCTGTCGGGTAGCGGAATATTGTTTTTCCTGTGATTACCTGGAAGCATACTCGTCTTGACATGGATGGTATGTCGTGTTTCAACAGCTGAACGGTCCATCTTGATGGACGTTGCCTCTGATTTTAGCTAAACCACCAATCTAATGACAGGTAGCTAACATTAGCTCGTTAGCTTGGGTGGGGGGATAGATAGATAGCTAGGTTAGCTGTCAGACCTGTTTTGAGTTACAGTTCGTTCGTTCACATATCCAACTGTTGCCAGACAGACAAATGATGTGTTTGTCCTTCGGTTTGATTTAACATCTTGTCTGGAATAATGACTGCTGCATTAGGAATGTCACACTCCATTCACAATGGATTTAACGTTAGCTAGCGTTAGTGTAGCTTCGACAAACATGGACGCATTTAGACACTTCCTTAGGTTTAACGTTACATGTATGCTTTAATATGGAGAATTATAACTGAAGGATGCAGTAGCAGGGTGTGGCATTTGAAATGATATATATATATTTTCCAGGTTGTATTTCTTACTTCTTCATTATGGTTTTAGAGACATTTTAATTGTAGTATATGAAGATTAATCATTGTAAAGTTTTCACATTACTGGACAACTGTAACAGCCCTTTGAGAAACTTTTGGATAACATTGTGCTTTTGTTTGGACAAAGAGACCGATATCTGTGTCTATCGCAGACATATTGGTATGGTATCAGCGTATATGCGTTGCAATAGGCGCCTATATGAATAGTTTTTTGCTATATAACGCAAACACAATCCTGTTGTTGTATATTGGAGTCGGTGCAATCCAGCAGAGTGCGCTGTGTTTTACATGACTGTGGCAACACAGAGTAAGACAGAAGAAGCATCTCTCAACATAAGTCTACTAGAATTGTTCACTTTGTATATGTTAAATTATTTATCATGAGGTGATTTGTTTTTGTTTTTATTCAGTTATATAAGTGTAGGGAACAACTAGAAAGGCTTAGGTGGTGGACTGGAGTGAGTCAATGAAGTCATGTGAATTACTGCAACAGAGTAATATTCATTATGTTCACTTTGGAACAATGGTTGTTAGGTCTGGGACAGCTGAATTTGGGACAGTTGCAGGACACTGAGGGAAAAAGTCATTTCAAGCCCTGTAGAAAAGGTCTATTTTCATTCCAGCTGAAAAAATACACTATATCAGCGGTAATCAGTGATTTTTTTCCCCCCTCTAAAATCTGCATTGGTCTTAAAAATCCCATATTGGTCAGGCTCTACAGTGCAGAAGTCAGAGGCTCCAACAAAATCATTGTGGCCCCTAGGGGACAGTAGTCCCATTTTCTACATTGCCTGTGTGAGGGTTAAGCAGAGACATGAAAATGTCTATTATTGAGGTAAAGTTATAACTATTGTTTTCTACTGTTGGAAACAACCATAGCTTATGGAGTTGGGTGGCTTTATACATCTTCTTACTTTTCCAGTCTGTTTTTTTTTGTAGCTCTACTTTATCACTGAAAATAAACATGGCCTCCAAAATTGTGGGGAAGCCACAAATCAGTTAAGTAGTTTGATGAACTCTTAAGAAGTGAAAGCTGACTGAATTATTAACGACCCCTCTCCCACTGCACAGTGAAGCTTTTACGTTCAGAGACATTATAGATTACCAATGGCTAATAGAAATATCTATGAGAAATCCTTTGTCCCAAAAGCTGTCGAGGTAATAAATGAAAGTAGGATCCAATAGACTAGGATACAGAGTAGTTCTCTATCTTTGCTGAAGGTTTTTGCACAGTACGTTAATGTGATGGTGTGTGAAGTGTAGTACTTTTATGAATGTTATTATGTTTTTATGACTTTTCTTATGGTGAAACTGAACACAAGTTTCCACATTGTGGACCATAAAGTTTTGGTATTTGTATTTCTATGTGCTTACCTTCAAGCAAATAAAAGACAGGACAGAAAACTCCTTATTATTTTACCAAGAGCTGGGCAATATTTTTTTTTAATCTCCATTTGTTTTCTAAAAAACAAACTACACAAGATATTTTTGGCACTGTAAAACGTCACCACATCTGTAATGTCTTATCACTGTGGCCCTTCTTCTCACATGGTATACTATGGGAAAATGATTCAACACACTGTGCATAGATGGGCAACTGGAGTGGATTGGGACTTGTTTTACAGAGTTCATAACATTCATAGTTTAATTCTTGATTGTACAATTCAGTCGGTTTTTACATTGTTTTAAATCATAAGTTTGGATTTGAAAAGTTATCGCCCAACTCTATTAACCAGCAATCCTGTTTTAGTATATAAAGTCACTAGACACTGTGACATAGAGTTAGTATATTACTGTGGAACTGATTCCATACTGCTAATTCTGTCTCTCACTGTCTCTCCACAGAAACACTCTTCCAGCTAAAGGTATTTATCTATTAAAAGGTTTAATCCACCTCAGTTTGATATAAATCTGTAAAAGTGGATTACTTGAAGATATATATATATATATATATATCTTCTTCATGTTTGTTAGTGTATTGATGTAGTTGTTGCGTCTGTCTGTC